GATAGTCTGACCCACAACACAGAGCCTCAAAATATTTGGGGCCTCAACTTGGCCCATACACTGACACATATATATTTAAAAAAAATATTAACCTGGTAATGCCGAATGGATTCATGGAGTTGGAGAACAGGAAAAGCAATGGGGCACCGGGATGGTTTTCAAAGGACAAAAATTGAAATGGGCCTGCGGCGAATTGGAAGGGCCCGACATATTGGAATCACCGTATGAGCCTTTAACTGTTTTTTTTTTTTTTTTTTTTTTTGTTTTGGCCAATTGGTCCAGCCATTCTAACCAAATTTTTGTTTAATTTTTTTTTCCAGGGGTTTTGCTTGGAAATTTGGATTAATGATAGTTAATTGCTGAGTGGTTTGAGTGGAATCATTAATCTTTGATAATAATTTTTAATGATGTCAATTGAGACTTAACGGGTTAGTTATGTTGACAAATGAGAATAATTTCCCTGATGATGTAAAGATGGAAGAGCTAACAGAGGATTTTATTTCAAATAATACTAGACTAGTGTTACTTTTCAAACAATGATTGATAATATTATTTCTTTTGTAATCATATTTTGAAATTATATATTTTTTATTATTAATTAATAAATTTGTGGAAAAACAATTTTAGGGCCACATTTTTAATTTTCGAGCAGGGCTTCCGAATATCATGGGTCGGTCCTGTCAAATGATTAAAGCTAAGCATCAAACCCCAGTCATCGAACACTTACCATTGGAGATTCCTCATTGGACATGGGAGAAGGTCACTATGGATTTCGTGCATGGTTTGCCGAGGACCCCAAGAGGGAATGATGGTGTCTGGGTTATTATTTATCGTTTCCCGAAGGTGGCGCATTTTATACTCATCAGGTTCAAGCCTAGGATGGAGGAGTTGGCGAGGTTGTAGGTAAGGGCGATTGTCAGACTGCATAGAGTGCCACTTAGTATTGTTTCTGATTGTGATCCTAGCTTCACGTCGCGATTCTGGGTCAGTCTGCAGAAGGCTATGGGTATAAAGGTGCATTTCTCTACTGCATACCATCCTCAAACCGATGGGCAATCCGAGAGGGCGATACAGACTCTGGAGTATCTTTTGAGGGCTTGTGTTATGACCATGGAGGGAGCTTAGGATGAACATTTACCTCTGATAGAGTTTGCTTATAATAATCAGTATCACAGCTCGATACAAGCAACTCCATATGAGGTTCTGTGTGGGAGGAAGTGTCGTACTCCGTTGTATTGGGATGCTGAAGGAGTGAGGCATTTACATGGCCCCGAGATGATGCAGAAGGTCGTGGAAAAGATTGAATTAATCCATAAGAATTTGAAGGCGGCTTAGGACAGACAAAAGAGTAAGGTTGAGAGGCCTGGAGTTCCTCGCCAGCATCAAGTGGGGGATAGAGTCTTTCTTAGGGTGTCCCCTTAGAAGGGTGTGATGAGATTTGGCAAGAAGGGGAAGCTTAGTCCGAAGTATATCGGGCCATACGAGGTGCTTGAACGTGTGGGACCTTTGGCCTATCGGTTAGCCTTACCCCCTAGTCTGTCGAGGATCCACGACGTTTTTCATATTAGCATGCTAAGGGCGTATCGATCCAAACTGAGCATGTTATCAGGCATGGGGACATCCAGTTGGAGGACGATTTGACATATGAGGAGGTCCCAATCCATATCGTGGATAGGCAGGAAAAGGAGTTGAGCAGGAAGAAGATTGTCATGGTGAAGGTGATATGGAGAAACCAGGGAAGCAAGGCTACAACGTGGGAGACGGAGAGTAGCATGAGAGAGAAGTACCCAACGTAGTTTAACGTTGCTTAGACCAGTAGTTGATAGACCTCTTTGTACTTTAACGTTTAGTCCTCATTTCTCAATATTTCAATAATAGACCCAGTAGTTCAGTCATGTTTCATAATAGCTAACACCCAGTTTAGTCTACAATTTCGTGGTAAAAATTTCTTAAGGGGGAGGGAAATGTTATATCCCAACTAGCGTAGTTCTTTCAAATATAGCGTTACATCGTACAAGTGATTACGCTACAGCTCAAATTTCGGGCACGATATTTTTATAAGGGTGGAGGAAATATAACACCCCAAATTTCTGGATTTAGGTCCGACCAATCATTGAGTTGGTTCGGAATTGAATAAAGTAATACCCATTACTAATTGTAGGTTTTATGTTAATTACGAATTAATGAATTAAAAAAAAACCCAACGTGCGTTACCCCATCCCCTCTCCCTCGGCCTCTCTACTTCCTACACGTTACCATCACACCCCATTACCACCCATCATAAACAACCCATTTCCCTCCCACTAAACCCATATCCCCCATCTCAATTCTCATCGGCAACTGTAACATCCCAACTTTTGAGTTAAGGTTTAACCTGACATTAATACATGGTTTGATTCATTGGTTAGAGATTTCGAACCAAACCAAACCCCAAAGGGTCACAGCTGGCCGGTTAGGTAATTAACTCTCAATTGGAGCCGTTATAGTGTTCCATTAAACTCTTCAATTGGGAGCCTTTATAGTGACTACGTTACATCCACGAAGAAGTCCATGGGGTTAGTTTTAATGGTGGAGCCGTATCAAAAGGGAAAGGGAGTTGGCGTTCACGTGAAGGGAATCGAAAAGAAAGAAGCTTGCGATGGCGTTGAAGCTCAGAGAGTGATGAGCAGATATAGAGTGGACGTCGGTGGCGGCTGAACGCTTGGAGACTATGTTCATCGCTAGAGTTGATTAAGATGGAGACGGAGTTATTGGTAGCGGCAGCTATTGAGAAAGAGATAGGAGTGTGACAATGATCCCGTCGTAGGACCTGTGGCCAGGAGATCTGCGATAGACTTGTCGAACGCGCCTCAATCGTTAACCGGAAGCTGAACTAAATCGAGGTAATAACTCAGCCCTACCAACTCCAAGAACTCGATGGTGTGATTGCATTAAGATTCGTAATGGTTGGTGGTTGTGTCAAAAAGGCTCAAGAAGTTGGACGAGAGGGAGAGTTAATTAGCTTACGTACGTAAATTAACCTAGTTGGGAATCAGTTGATTTATCTGGTGGGTTAATCATCTTTTGGTCCTGCTGTAATGGATGGAGGGATTGTTATTTGGAGACCACATATCCTCCCTTCTAACGAGATGCACCAGTGGGTATAAGTGATGGAATTGGCATAAGAAGTGAGGTCCCACGTGAAGATGTGCAATTATAATAATGGTTGGCATGGAAACAAAGTAGTGCTAATTGGGATTGAAACTAAATGCAATTATAATGGTTTAGGAGTTGTTGGAACTGGCGAGAACTTTAACAGGGAGGAGTCGGATCATCGATGATGGGGTAGCAATTAAACAATGGGAAGATGTCGGGCAATTCAGTTTCAATTCAACTCACGTTGATAAGGTGAGTGTAAAAAAGATAAATTCTACGAATTACGAGTTTTAAATATGTGTTTTACATGAAGTATATGCCAGTACTTGATTATGTTTATGCTTGATAATGCATGTTCTTGTTGGAGATATTGTTTGATGTGCTTAATTGAGTTTTCATTATTTACTTTTAATTTAAGCATTTTAGTTTCTGTCTTTCATTAAGAGGTTGTGATTGGTAAGAATGAGTTTTAGTAGTACTTCACCCTTAAATAAGTTAAGGTGAAGAGAGTAAGAGAAAGTAATAAGTAAGAACTAGATGAGTAACCTCGCTTAGCTAGCCATGTTGACAATGGATCACTACTGGACGCGGTAGTTGATCGGATCACTGTTGGATGGCGATACGTAACACAGCAGTCGATCGGGTATTTTGGGTCACTACTGGACGGCGATACGTAACGCAATAGTTGATTGGGCATGGAACTGGACGACGATACGTAACACAGTTTCAAGTTTTAGGTATGTAACCAGACGGCGATACGTAACGCGGTAGTCAAAACTCAGTTTGAGGGGCACCCCATTGTGAGGGTAGCCATTTTTAAGTAAGGCTAGTAGTGGCGCCAGCTAAATCGAGGTAGGGGCCCAACTATAAGATAAAGGATGAGGTAACATAGTTTTAAGAGTTAAGGTTTTTAAGGGTGTAAGTAAGAACAACTTCCACCAGTTAAGGTAAGTGTTTTAAGTAAAAGTGCTCAAGTATTCGAGATTTAAAACGTAAGCACGTAGACTGACCCCAACTCACTCACCAACTTGAAGAGGACGAGGAGGAGCAATTAGAGAGTAATGAGATCCAGAGAAACTGTTTGAGGGAAGCCATCTAGAAGAGAACGATACGAGCGTCTTGGATGATGTCGAGTCAGAGTTTCATGTGAGCAGCAACATTAGTTGAGACTAGTTAGTTATTAGGTTTTATGATTATGAGTATAGACTGGAGATTAGATGGAGATTTTAAAGATTGAGTTTAATTTACCCACGTGTTAGGGCGTTGCTTTGAACTACAAGAGTGTGTTTTTAGTATTTTATTTATGAAAATTTTCCCGTTGCAATTTAAAATTTGACTATTTTATTTTTCAAGGGCATTTTAGTATAAGTAGTACCCGGCCGGGTTAGGGTGTTACAGCAACAGAGAATGGAAGAAAGAAAGAAAGAAAGAGGAAGAAGAAGAAGGCAAACTCGATTCATCTGTAGTCCACTACAGGAAAAAGATCCTATGATCACGGTAAATCCCGTGTTTGAAAGTGTGTTTACCGTGTTTAATAGTGTTAGTCACGGGAAAGTTACCGTAATATATACTTCCGTGTCTAATTGTTAAGGTCACGGGAAATTTGTACCATGACTAATTACAACTACTCACGGTATAATTTCCCGTGATAATATGTGGCTATTAATCACGGGGAGCCCCATGACTAGTACCAAATCTTGCAACCAAATTCACATAAAAAAAACTATTTAGATACAGGTGTGCACCTTTTAACACGGGTATTTACCATGAAAAAAACATATCCAGTGACTAGATATTACTCATTAGTCACGGTCGTAATTGGTTTGTCCTGTATGTAAATACTAGCAATGGGTCACGGTATGTTAAGTAATTAGGAACCACTAATCACACCCATAATATTTACTCTTATTTAAATACGCATAATATTTTCTTGACAGTGGTCCACATTGAAACTTGTAGTACTCAAGACTAACTAAATAAATGAAAATATAAAGATCTTTACAAATTATATCCCTTACTAGCCAAAATAAAATATTATTATAAATTATGTTCCTTAATGAAATGAAAATATAAAAAGCTTTACAAAAGAAGCATTTACAACCTCCACCTCTAATGGAGAACATAAAGAAACACTTACATCCTCTAAATAATTATCAAAATAGAGAAGATACATACACATCTGAGGGTCAAAAGATCCATTTGTTATTAGAGTGCAAGATACCAAAGCAAGTTATAAGCTGCAAAATCCACGAGGCAACCTTCAACGGCAGCAAATACGTACAATTTGGGGGAGAGCAACAATTTGGCTGCGTAGTAGCAGCAACTCCAACAACAGAAAATCCCGGCAGTAGTAGCTCTGCTAGCCAACAGCACCAACTTCGACAGTAGCAGATGCCAACAGTAGCAATTCTAATTCGGCAGCCAACATCATTAGTTCCGACAGCATAAGATTTCAACAGTAGCAGCTCCGCTAGTTGCCAGCGACTTCCTGTTCAAGTTTTGAAACCTTCTAATCACATGTTCGTCAAAAGAACTTATATATCTCCATTAGTACTTAGAATTGGCCTTAAATCTAAAGTGTTCACTCTTGACCACACTACAACACAACAAAATTACACAACCAAGACATTATTGCATCCATGATATAATCAACTGGTTAAGTCAATCAGCCTCCCAACCCTAATCCCATTTGTTCTCTTTGCTTCTTTTTCCTCAATTCAAAAAGATCATCTGCTTCAGGCAGGGTAGGAATAGAGTATCCAGTTCATGAAGTATAGGGAAACACACCTTTGTTGGGGATGGCTGTCATTCTCATCAAACTGTGAAGGGGGGACATTGATGACTAATATCTTAATCTGGCCCGAAGAAAGGCCTCTATCATCCATCAACTCTCAACATTCAGCTGAAAGTAAACCAATTTACTTCTCCTTGCATAAGAAAGAGTTAATGTCTACACAATTCCTGAAACAAAGCAGAAAAACAGTCAAATCAGGTTTTTATGTGTGCACAAGTGGGAAATACTTGGCCAAAGACACATTACAATGTCTGTTGGTGAAATTTTGGTAAGTCAAAACCCCCATGCTGTAGTGATGCTCACCATTATTAGTGCTCTGAGCGCTGTTAACAGGGACTTGGTTTTCTGGACATCTTTTATCAAAGTTTGGAGAAGAAAGCTTCCACTTTAAATAAGAAATTCTAAGCCCAGCATCTCATAAGTCTCTCAGGAGCTGCTTCTCAAACTCGAGAGCATGAAGAATGGCATCTTCCCGATGCGCATACATCTCCCTTTTTCTTAATCTGCACACCCATGGGAAGATTCATCTTGTTCAATGCATTCATCAAAGTCCCCACATACTTAGGAAAACAAAATTCAAAGAAAGCAAATTCATCAGATAAATAGATAGAGTGAACCATCCCGTGAAACCAAATTAGAACTACAAATTTGGTTCTTCTAAAATCAATCGTTAGACTGCACAAATAAGCTAATCTGCAGCAAAGAACGAAAGAAAGGAAAGGAGTAAGAGTCTACTGTTTGATTTCAGAAGCTCACCATAGACGGAACTCAAAGAGTTGATTGCGGCTTCCGGCCCTTCCAATTTCGTCTGCTGGCTAGACAAAGCAAAAGAGAAAAGAAACCAGCCTTTGGATTACCTCCTTTTCCTTTGCTACAGAGGAACAACATAGATTAGTCTCTTCTCTTTTTATTCTCCCTCTTCCTTGTCATGTTCTTCAAACGTTCAATATGGTTGTTGCTAAGCTAACAAGTTTGGACTTAAAGAGAACTTAGAATTGAGTAAACTAGGACCTCAATTTTAGTGGAGAATTTAAGTACCTAGAACAGACTAAGAGTAAAACCATCAGCTTTGATGGAAAGATGAAGTATAACAATAAACACTTACCACGTCCCCCTGATCTAGAATTCAAACACCAAATCCAATATTACTGAAAACTCCAAGTTCATCAACACAAGCCACGTTAACACAAAATAGCAACTCTTTACCTTGCAGGAGTCAGATGAGAACATCAACAATGCACACACAAAAATCTTCAGTATATCATCGTTGCTGGCGCCATCATCTGCAACAACAAGAAACAAACCCATCCCAAATCCCATCTCTAGAACCCATCCCAAAACCCCAACAAAAGCATAACCCCCAAATCCAAAATCGAATCTCGACAAACCTAGTTATCGCCTTTCTGCCCTTCATCTGAAAAAAGTGACGGATTTGAAGGGGAGGTCTAGGTTTTAGGATCCTTTCTAGCTAGCCTTGCTCGTTGCCGGTCGGGAACCTCTAGCTTCGCCGGTGTCCCGCTCCCCTGCGACTTACCCCACAAGTTGTGCCAAGAGTCGCCGCCGAAAGTTTCTTATACCATAAGTAATTCAGACTTTAAGTTCAATATGATCAACTCAGTTGAGCTCTCATGCCAAATTGTTTTTCAATAGTATATGTCTACGTATACTATAAATAATTCTGACAAATAGTTTCATGGAATAATCACACGTCAAATTGTTTTCCAATGGTATAGTGTACATATACCATAAAAAATTCTAACAATGATTATTTTAATGATCACCATTCTTTGGCAAGCTTATTTAATCCCTATAAGGATCCATCTTAGTTTCATTTTTCTTACCCTCATGGCATATGAAACTTGAAGTCATAAACCAACACATGATAAACAAATTACCATGTCGGGGAAACGCTATTCACCATTATTTCAATTTACTTCAAGATCACAACTCAAAACAATTTTGTTATCTAAACCAAATTGTTCCATCTTGCAAGCATCAAAATTGAAACTCATCCAAATTCAAACACAATTGAATTTTCTTGAACTCTTCTCATGATGTGAATTATGAGTTTGTTCTCATCTCAAATACTACAAAAGTATTAGATATCACTTAATAGAATAAAATTGGTTCGTCATATTTTCTTGGACACAAATTGCATCATGAAGATGACCAAACCATGCAAAATCAAGAAAGCAAATATGTAGGAAATTAATTCTGCCAATGAATCTTTTAATCTCATGCAACAATGGACATGGCGATTTTTTTTTTGGCTAGAAAAATCAAACCCATTGCACTATCGTAGTTATCACTTTGCATGCAATCACAGTTCCATTAATCATACCAAATCACACTTTATATATTTGAGATGGCCATTTCTATAGGAACTCGATTCCTTTTATTCTTTCATCCTCTTCAATGACAGGAAGAACAAAACCGGTAGTTACTGGAAGCATGCATATATATCATCCATTCTTAATAATCAATCCACCTCATATATAAATAAAAGGGTTGATTATCAGGAACCGATCATTCCTTTGTCAGAGTCGAATTCAATATAACCAGAAGATTGACACACGGAAAGAGCACTTCTACTATGCTATATAGCATTGGTGCTTTAATGTACAACTTGAAGTTGTACCATAACATTAAATGTATAAGTTTAGGTTGTACCATAAAGGAATTTGTATCATTATGTTATGGTACAACTTTACAACTTGAAGTTGTACCATCACATAAGGTACAAGTTTAAGTTGTACCATAAAAGAATTTGTACAAAAAGTATAGGTACAATCTGAAGTTGTACCATAACGTTAGATGTACAATTTCAAGTTGTACCATAAAGGCAAAAACCTATAGCACCAATGCTATATAGCATTGTAAAATTCCTCCACACGGAAAATGATAAACAATCAAATTCTATGATTCAATTTTCTTTTTGAAAGCAACCAGCAAATAGGTGCAAATTACACCCAAAGTTATAGGAATGGGTACCTGTCATAACAGAAACGTGCAAACGACAATCTAGATCAACACAAACGAACACGAATTTAACGTGGTTCACTAACACAACGTGTGCTAGCTAATCCACAGGCAAGGGGGACAAATTTCACTAATTTGAGGAGAGTACAGGTTACAAACACAAATTCCAAACTGACAAACCAAACAAACTAACCTGACTGACCTTAATACAAACTAGGGTGATGAAGAGTATTTATAGAACTCTTCTCCTAATCCCAAACAGAAAACCAAACGCCTTTTCCCAAACATACAAGGAAAAGGTCAAACAAAGCCCAAACACATATCCAAACAAAATATGCCCTAAACACAAAACAAACTCAAATCAAATTCAAGTCATATTCTAACAATCTCCACCTTGACTTGAATTCTCTCTCAAATACCAGATGTACCAGACACAACCAAAGTTGCCAAATGTACCCAAACGCGATCCATATCGCCAAATTTACCCAGATGCGATCGAAATCGCAGATATCCAGATGTGATCGAAATCACCAAACTCAAACGCGATACAAATCGCCAAACTTAGATGCAATCAGAATTGCCAGATGTACTAACTCCTCCAAATCAGTTGTACCAGAACCTCTCCTGCCTCCAAATGCCCCTAAGGGCGATCAACAAATCAAAACATGCAGCAAGTCCAACCCATGTTGGGACTTGCCATGCATAACCAACTTGGTGTTATTTCCATCGATAACACCAACATCAGATTTACTTCCAACTCCAAAGCTGCAGCTCCAAATCGACTTCTCAATCTTTAAATCCAGAACAAACATCCTTGAAGATTGAAAACCCTAACCAAACGCCAAACTCTCAAGCCGATGAAGAACTCAAACACCCAAACAAATTTAGCAACCCTGCTTCTCCGTTCCCGATTGACGGCAAGAAATTGTAATAATAATTACAATGATACGTCAGCGAATTCACTACAATTACCCAAATTCAATTTGCTTAGATAATTCTTCCTGGCCGCTGGATCACAATTATGATAGATGAATTAATTATCCAATCCTAGCAATTAGAGAGCGCCTCTCTTATGCGGTGCGGCCCACAAAAAAATTCAAACACCAATTCCTCTAGAACCTCTCCTGCCTCCAAATGCCCCTAAGGGCGATCAACAAATCAAAACATGCAGCAAGTCCAACCCATGTTGGGACTTGCCATGCATAACCAACTTGGTGTTATTTCCATCGATAACACCAACATCAGATTTACTTCCAACTCCAAAGCTGCAGCTCCAAATCGACTTCTCAATCTTTAAATCCAGAACAAACATCCTTGAAGATTGAAAACCCTAACCAAACGCCAAACTCTCAAGCCGATGAAGAACTCAAACACCCAAACAAATTTAGCAACCCTGCTTCTCCGTTCCCGATTGACGGCAAGAAATTGTAATAATAATTACAATGATACGTCAACGAATTCACTACAATTACCCAAATTCAATTTGCTTAGATAATTCTTCCTGGCCGCTGGATCACAATTATGATAGATGAATTAATTATCCAATCCTAGCAATTAGAGAGCGCCTCTCTTATGCGGTGCGGCCCACAAAAAAATTCAAACACCAATTCCTCTAGAACCTCTCCTGCCTCCAAATGCCCCTAAGGGCGATCAACAAATCAAAACATGCAGCAAGTCCAACCCATGTTGGGACTTGCCATGCATAACCAACTTGGTGTTATTTACATCGATAACACCAACATCAGATTTACTTCCAACTCCAAAGCTGCAGCTCCAAATCGACTTCTCAATCTTTAAATCCAGAACAAACATCCTTGAAGATTGAAAACCCTAACCAAACGCCAAACTCTCAAGCCGATGAAGAACTCAAACACCCAAACAAATTTAGCAACCCTGCTTCTCCGTTCCCGATTGACGGCAAGAAATTGTAATAATAATTACAATGATACGTCAACGAATTCACTACAATTACCCAAATTCAATTTGCTTAGATAATTCTTCCTGGCCGCTGGATCACAATTATGATAGATGAATTAATTATCCAATCCTAGCAATTAGAGAGCGCCTCTCTTATGCGGTGCGGCCCACAAAAAAATTCAAACACCAATTCCTCTGGAACCTCTCCTGCCTCCAAATGCCCCTAAGGGCGATCAACAAATCAAAACATGCAGCAAGTCCAACCCATGTTGGGACTTGCCATGCATAACCAACTTGGTGTTATTTCCATCGATAACACCAACATCAGATTTACTTCCAACTCCAAAGCTGCAGCTCCAAATCGACTTCTCAATCTTTAAATCCAGAACAAACATCCTTGAAGATTGAAAACCCTAACCAAACGCCAAACTCTCAAGCCGATGAAGAACTCAAACACCCAAACAAATTTAGCAACCCTGCTTCTCCGTTCCCGATTGACGGCAAGAAATTGTAATAATAATTACAATGATACGTCAACGAATTCACTACAATTACCCAAATTCAATTTGCTTAGATAATTCTTCCTGGCCGCTGGATCACAATTATGATAGATGAATTAATTATCCAATCCTAGCAATTAGAGAGCGCCTCTCTTATGCGGTGCGGCCCACAAAAAAATTCAAACACCAATTCCTCTGGAACCTCTCCTGCCTCCAAATGCCCCTAAGGGCGATCAACAAATCAAAACATGCAGCAAGTCCAACCCATGTTGGGACTTGCCATGCATAACCAACTTGGTGTTATTTCCATCGATAGCACCAACATCAGATTTACTTCCAACTCCAAAGCTGCAGCTCCAAATCGACTTCTCAATCTTTAAATCCAGAACAAACATCCTTGAAGATTGAAAACCCTAACCAAACGCCAAACTCTCAAGCCGATGAAGAACTCAAACACCCAAACAAATTTAGCAACCCTGCTTCTCCGTTCCCGATTGACGGCAAGAAATTGTAATAATAATTACAATGATACGTCAACGAATTCACTACAATTACCCAAATTCAATTTGCTTAGATAATTCTTCCTGGCCGCTGGATCACAATTATGATAGATGAATTAATTATCCAATACTAGCAATTAGAGAGCGCCTCTCTTATGCGGTGCGGCCCACAAAAAAATTCAAACACCAATTCCTCTGGAAGTAGTCCGACGCGAGAACTAGCAGCAGGATGGGATCACCGGTGCGGAAAAACAGACGAAGACAAACCAAATCTAATTCCGATCTGAATTTGTGCACAATTCCCCATAAACTTCAACCAGGCTCTGATACCACTTGTCATAACAGAAGCGTGCAAACGACAATCCAGATCAACACAAACGAACACGAATTTAACGTGGTTCACTAACACAACGTGTGCTAGCTAATCCACAGGCAGGGGGGACAAATTTCACTAATTTGAGGAGATTACAAGTTACAAACCCAAATTCCAAACTGACAAACCAAACAAACTAACCTGACTGGCCTTACTACAGGCTAGGGTGATGAAGAGTATTTATAGAACTCTTCTCCTAATCCCAAACAGAAAACCAAACATTTTTTCCCAAACATACAAGAAAAATGTCAAACAAAGCCCAAACACAAACCCAAACAAAATAGGCTCAAAACACAAAACAAACCAAAA